CTGGCTGGCAACTGTAAGAATAGGACGCTGGTCTAGATGGGCCATTGACTAGATCCAGCAGGCTCCTCCTATGTTCTTAGCACCATTTGCTTTGGTGGGAATGGGACAAAAGGGCTATTGGCTTCATGCCCTGCTTGTGAACTTCCCGGAAGCATCCTTTCAGCCAATACGAAGAAAGATGCTGGACCAGGTGGTCTGATATGATCTAGCACAGCAAACTTTTTGAGCAGGGGGCCAGTTCACTGTCCCTCGGACCTTGTGGGGGGCCGGACTATATTGGGGGGGGGAATGAACAAATACCTATGCCCCACAAGTAACCCAGAGATGCATTTTAAATAAAAGCATACATTCTACTCATGTAAAAACACGCTGATTCCCAGACCATCTGGATTTAGAAGGCAATTGGGCTGGATCTGGCCCCCGGCCCTTAGTTTGCCTACCCATGATATGGCAAGACTTAAGTTCAGAGCATTCTTTACGGAACCCCAGCTGACATTTCAATTCCCAACGCTGGGTAACACTGAGCCAAAATTACAAAGATGAACACCGGCTTAGCTACCCAAGGCATTTCCCTTCTTACAATACCCCACACCTTTCAGTAGGGTCTCCCTTGTGTTAAACATGACCCGGAGGTGATGCCACTGCCAGCAGCCCCACATCAGGGATCTAATCCCATCAAAACGCTCTCATTATTCAAGCCGTTTGGCTAATTGAGCTCGTTGCAATATGTAGCCAGGCACATGCATAGCGGGTGACATTGTGGGATTTCAGTGTGCGATGAAAGGTGCAAGGCTTAGTAATTGGGAAGGCAGGACACTACCACTTAGCAACCAGCAGGCGCCTTGTAAACTCTCAGGCAGGTCTCTATCCCATGGCATAATCGTGTAATGCGACCAAGCATATGGTTACCAGATTTTTTTCAATGAATTTGGGGGGACTTTTTTTTTTTTGAAACTGAGTAGCAACAGGGAGTCAGTAGTGGGGATGGTGAGGCAAAAGACCCTGGGCCCAAGCACACGTATACATATTGTATAAAGGTGCAATGCCCTTCTTTCGCACCCTGTGAAACATAAATGCGCAGAGTGTTTTTTTATAAAAACTGGGCAATGGTGCCTGCCCGTGGCTCCTGAGCCTCTCCCAATCTGTCAAAGCAAAGGGGGAAGGGGGCAGGAGATCGGGGGAGGCTCAGGAGTCATGGGCAGGTGGTGCGCCCTTGCCCAGTTTTAAAAAATTTCTGCGCATTTATGTTTCACAGGGTGTGAAAGAAGGGCTTTGCACCTTGCCCGGCAGAGAAACCACGCGCCTTGCGCCCCTCCTGGGCAACTCCCGCCCGCCTGCAACTCCCGAGCCTCCCCCATCAGTCAAAACAAAGGGGCAAGGGGGCAGGAGATCTGTACCGCTCAATGTCCCTGGTTCCCCTTTGGCAGTGGCAGCGGCAGTCAGCAGCCCGGAGCCAGCCAGAGCCAACTGCGCTACCAGGCTGGCTCCGGGCTGCTGAGGCTGCCGCTGCCACGTTTCCCGGGGACAGATGTGCAAATCTGGGGACATTCCGGGGATGGAATTTGTCTGGGGACAGATTTGCAAATCCAGGGACTGTCCCCGGGAACCAGGGACGTCTGGTAACCCTAACCAAGCAGCCCTTGGGTGCTCCTTCTCTGTTAATAACAAGGGGAAGTAAAGCCCATGATCAGACTGTAGTAGTGCAGGGCATTGCCACACAAGGGAACAGTGCTGTCAATACCTTTGAATTCCTTGCTTCAGAGATAGAGGGAGGTGTGTGCCATTTCGCCACCTGAGGTGAAGCAGGAATGTTCCACTCCCTGCCCCCCAACTTTCACCATTGCTAGAATGCCCCCCGCCCTCACTTAACTCCGGAAGAGCCAGGACACTCCTCAAAACGTTGCTGCTTGTCTTCTCCACCCCAGGGCAGGGAGGCGAGCAGCCATGCTGCGTTCAAGGTGCTTCTCAAGTCTTTTCCACCTGTCATCATGGGCGGAGGAAGGGGGTGTGGTGGATGCAGGCCACTCCGGGTGTCACCAATGAGGGGGTCTCTCCTGGCTTGGGCACGCGCAGGCTCCATGCTGCCCAAACGGTCCGCCCCCCCCCCCAGCTGTAGGGCTGCTGAGTGGGAGGAAGCAGGCAGACTCTGGAGGCCCCACAGTGCACCCTGCCCCTATGGGCAGCTCCTCCCGCCCCTGGGCATGCCACCCCGGGCACCCAAGCAGCTTCCTCTGCCGCTGCCTGTCATGGGCTTGTTGGATGTAGAGGAATGGTGGGAGGAACTGTGGGGTGTGAAACACAAGAGCAGTCAAGTACAGCATTCCTAGAGTGAACATGTTTACACATGGGGAAGAATGTTTGTCCAGCCAGCAGGTCAACTTCCTGTTTCCTTCTGGGCTGGGACAGACTTCCTCTGCATGTGACTAGAGGTAGGTGTGGCCTCACCTGTGCAGGTAACAACAGAAACAGAGGGCAGGGCAGCCATCTCTCTCTCTGTGACTACATGCATCGGAAAAGCAACATCTGCTTAGCCAAAGATGCTCTCTTGGCCTCCAGCCAAGAGAAGACAAAGGGACTGTCTCCTTATGAGATAGTTTCCAGGTGTATGTTACTTTTCTAAGATAAGTCTGCCTTCTGGGATCTGATTATGAACAGAATGTGAGTGAGTAAACTCTTTTTATACTTTTATAGAAGACTGTGTCTTATCTTTTATGAGGGAATAAGGGGAAAATACCAGAATAGTTGTTATAGAGGCTTTAGTGAGCCTGAGCAAACGCATCCGCTGTGAGTTTAAAAAGGGGAATGTTACTCTGCTAAATTGTGAACTTGTTTACACAAGTTGGAAAGGCTATAATCAAACAATATATCCTCTCTTGCATCCCTGAACATTCCCACAGGAACCAGCTGGGAAACCCTCAAGGGAAGAAGGCTCAGAGCCAAGGAAGTGGTGGTGGGATGATGATGAGGGGTCAGAGGAAGAGACTGGAAAGAGGAGGTGTCGGAACCTGAAGGGTTTACAGGGTTTAGTGAGCAGGGAGAGGCTGTGGCAGAGAGCAGTCCAGAATCAGAGGCAGAAGCTGAAGCAGGAGAGAAGGAGGCCAAGAGGCAGAGATGAGTCAGGCTGGTGAAGAAGCAAGGGGGTCTCTCCCTCCTGCTGTGACAAGCTCCCCTCCCCATGGTTTCCCAGGAGCAGGAGAGGCATGAAGCACGAGGAGCGAAGACAGATATGCAGACGGAGTCTCTGATTGCTTGGGGGGGAAAACCCTGGAGAGCAGGAGAGATATCTGGCTGTGGGGAGGCAGGAACCTTTAGTCCCAGCAACTGCTTCTTTGGGGCAAGACCTGAGTTGCTGTACTCATTAAACCTGACACTCCTGTGCGGATCCTGTTTTGCTAATGAGGAGTTAACTCCAGCTTTCTTGCTGTGGTTTACTTCCGGCTCCCTCCTGTCCCCAGGAAGGGTGGGAAGATGAGAGGCCATGTGCCCTCTCTCAAGCCACACCCCTTCTCCGCAGGCCACGCCCCTCCCTTGCCCTGCTTTGCACCCTCATGGAATGCTTTTGTGCAAATGAAATGGGCACACTTGCAGCTCTGACCGTGCTTTTCTGTTTGTCTGGACGGAGAGACCAGCGTATTGAGATGAGCCTATTGTACAGAAGTAACATTTACGGGTGGCGCTGTGGGTTAAACCACAGAGCCTAGGACTTGCTGATCAGAAGGTCGGCGGTTCAAATCCCCGCGACGGGGTGAGCTCCCGTTGCTCGGTCCCTGCTCCTGCCAACCTAGCAGTTCGAAAGCACATCAAAGTGCAAGTAGATAAATAGGTACCACTCCAGCGGGAAGGTAAATGGCGTTTCCTTTCGCTGCTCTGGTTCGCCAGAAGCAGCTTAGTCCTGTTGGCCACATGACCCGGAAGCTGTACGCCGGCTCCCTCGGCCAGTAAAGCAAGATGAGCGCCGCAACCCCAGAGTCGGCCACGACTGGACCTAATGTTCAGGGGTCCCTTTACATTTAACATTTACATCGGTTGCTTTGCCTCAGAGCCCACTTGCATGCGGCCCCTGGAAAGTTGCCCAGAAAGCAGTGTGGCCCTTGGAGTTAGAAGACCCCACCCCCCACTTCAGGCTTAGCACTCCCTCCCTGTCTTCCATGTCCCTCCTGAATTATAGAGAAAACACAGAGTGTGGAGGCTATGCAATGTGGGTGTGTGGCCTACATTAATCACAGCTCTCCTGGATTTCAGCAGGATCAGATATTTGCCAGAGGGAAGCCGGCACATTCAGTGCTTGGGGAAGGCAATGAGCCCCTTAGAACATTGGAATACAGGGAGCTGCTTTCTACAGAGTCAGACCCTTGATTTCTCTAGCTCAGGATTCCCTAGTACAGTGTTACCTCTGGTTACAGACGCTTCAGGTTACAGACTCTGCTAACCCAGAAATAGTACCTTGGGTTAAGAACTTTGTTTCAGGATGAGAACAGAAATAGTGCGGTGGCGGCGCAGCGGCAGTGGGAGGCCCCATTAGCTAAAGTGGTACCTCAGGTTAAGAACGGACCTCCAGAATGAATTAAGTTCTTAACCCGAGGTACCACTGTATTTATTTACTGCATTCATGTCCCATCTATGCCTCCTAGGCTCTCAAAGTGGCACACATTGTTCTCCCCATCCCACTTGTTTATTTAGCATCAAGATTTGTTTATTTTTAAAGGCAGGGAATTATGCACACCAAAAATATGTAAATAATGCAGAAACAATACAGATGCGCAAATTGCTCCGTTCAGGTTGTTCCATAAGGTATAATTAATTATGATTGCATTTATATCCTGCCTTTTTCCCCAAGGAGCTCAGGCTAGCATGCGTGGTTCTGCCCCAACTCATTTAAGCCCACAACAGGCTGAGAGGCAGGGACTGGCCCAAGGTCACTCAGCCAGCTTCGTGGCCGAGTGGGGATTTGAACCCTGGTCTCCCAGGTCCTAGTCTGAGATGCCCTAACCACTACACCACACTGCCGCATCGGGATTGAACCCGATGGCTTCTGCATTCGAAGCAGATGCCCCACCCCCCCACTAAGCTACATCGCTTCCCCTCTGGCTGTTGCCTTTCCCTTCTACAGCTTCGTGAGAAGAAATCTCCTGAGTCTTGCAACACCCAACAAACCCTAAAAACGGATTTCCCTCAGATCAGCTCGAATTCTGCCATAAGCTGCCGGGCTGTTTTTCCCTTCCCGTGCTTGCAATCTGCCTGGGGAGAAGAGCGTCCCGGGGCATGTGCAGAGTGCTTTATCCTTTGCCACTGAGAGATGCTGCCCACCAAGGTTCCTGATTTGCAGCAGTTTGATGGGGGGGGCGGGGAGGTGGTGGAGGAACCGCTGCTCCTGGACACCCTCCCCTGGCAGGGAAGAGTCGGTTCGGTTTCGGAGACACGAGGGGAGGTTGGTCCCGTCTTGCGCTACGCCGTGAAACCGCTTCTCACCGATTTCGCAGGAAATGTTTGTCGCTTAAGGGATAATCAAGGCAATACAAAGAGGCGGAGAGAGAGAGAGAGAGAGAGAGAGAGACTGACTCCCCTCTCCTCTTACTCTCAATAGCCAGGACAGAGCAGGATTAGACAGCAGCCAAATGTCAGCAGGAGGGGGAGGCGCAGGAGAGAGCAGAAAGACCCTCACTGAGAAACCGGCTGTGATTTTATTGGCTCCTGAGCTTCTGTTTAAAGCAGGAGCGCTTGAGAAGATATCTCTGTGCTGGGTCCACCCACCCTCCAAAAGACAGAAGCAGGGAGGAAGGGAGAGAGAATGTAGCCAGTAGGCTTTGCTTCACTGGCAAAGGGGGAAGAGGGAAAAGAAAACCACGGGAGAAAGGAACCTGGAACACCAGCCCAGCTTGTTCCTCCTCCTCCTCCTGCTCTTCCAGAACGGGACCACCATGAACGAGACGATCGTCCTCCAGTACTTCATCGAGGAGCTGGATGCAAACTGCAGTCTCCTCGATTTGTTGCAGGATGGATTTGATGGTAGGGGAGCGCGAAGAAGGCTGGGAGAGTCTCTCGAGGGGTTGTCGGTGTGAGGGTCCTGGCGCGGCGCGCCCGGGCGCCCGGAGCGCGGATGGTTTCAGTCACTCCCTTTTCTCTCTTTTAACTTGAAGGTCCCTACTGCAACGCCACCACCGATCAGATCGGGACCTGCTGGCCCAAGACCAGCGCCGGGGAGCTGGTGGAGAGACCTTGCCCCGAGTTTCTCAATGGAGTCAAGTACAACACCACGAGTAAGTGCAAAGCGAACTCTCTCTCTGTGTGTGCCTTCGCTTTTCTTGGAGGATGAATTCTGGGCTTTGGGGGTGAAGGTGGGAACTGGTCCTGGTGGAAGCTCAGTGGCAGAATGCTAGATAGATAGATAGATAGATAGATAGATATTATAGTCAATATTGCTGGCTTGTTTATCTCTTGCCTGTTACGCGTGTCTCAAGGTAGGCAAACCACAATAACAGGTAAAATAGTTTTAAGAACAGTACTGAAGACAAGTTTTTAAACAAGGCAAAATGAACGTCTCAGGGGTGTATTCCCTCCCCCCCCGCTGTTTCTTCCTTAAGTGTTTTCCTGGAAAATGAGGAGTTTCGTTCCAGAAGAGGACAGATGCAAAATTGCGTTCCCATGTTAAGTTTGGTTTGCTAAGAGTTCATTGACTTATTTCAGTTTTCCCCCGTGGGGAGAAGCGGAAGCTGGGTGCTTTCAAACGGCGCAGTAAAATAATTAAGAAGGAAGACGAGCCACTGAGTGTGTTGTCGTGTGGAATCCTTTCTTTCTCGGGATGTGATATATTTTATGAAGTATCTAAGGTCGGCTGTAGTCACTTGGGTGAGTTTTGCACACTCCCTTTCCCCAGGTGTATCTTGATCTAGTGGTGAAGTTGGCCAAAGGTCTTGGCGTTTGCAAGTACAGTAGATGCGAATTCCTGGTTGCTGCTGGGAATAAAACGCCTTCCCCGATCGGAAGCAAATCGAGCGTGCAGATGGGGAACAATGCGGTTCAATATGCATGTGGCTGTGCTTGCTCTGGGCAAGAGTAGAGCCCTCTCTGCTCCTGAGGTTTGACCGTTCGGTGCTCCAGATCTGCCTGGAAATCGCATAACCCAATTTCAGCTCCTAGAAGTCGGTCAACCAGCGACAATCAGCCCCAAGCTCTTTATATAAGAGTATATATCATGTGAGTGTTGATTATCACAGACAAATGTGAAAATTTTGACACAGGCTGTCGACACAGTCACCTGAACGTGGCTATATTTGACTGTGTGATTGTGCTTGAATAGCAGGGAAAATAGGTTTTTGAATTTGACAGAATTCTTCCAGGACCAGCAATAGCCACTTCTCAATGTCAACATTTGGAGATGTATCTTGATCTAGTGGTGAAATTGGGCAGGGTTTGGGATTCAGAGGGGAAAGTGTTGTTTACCAGGACACAAAATCATCTTTGAGTGGAAATCTGTAAGATCTTTAATCATTATGTTCAACCCGCTGATTGCTTTGCAAAATATCTAAGGGACAAGATAATCAGGGAATTTCCCATGCTTTTACCTGAGCACCCTGGCACCCAATCAGTTCTTAACTGAATCAAAACATGACCAGGCATCCTAGCCCTGTCCAGAGACCAAAAAGTCTTTCCTGCTAATTCTGGACCACCTCCTGTTCTGGATTACTTTGCATTGTGAGGAGTAAACCCCAGATCTGGCAACGAATGATGGGGCTCGGCTCAGGTGTGTCCATAGGGCTCAAATTAAGAGCTGCTATCAATGGCAAGTGCGGGGAATCTGTCATTATCTCATGTGAAGTAGGAGCTACCTGTGCCAAACCTGTGATTTCCCCAAGAGATGCTTATATGCGTTGTGAGTAGACAGCAGGAACCCAGAGCTCTGAACCAATGTACCAGACACCTGGAAACTATCACAGGACAAGTTTATCTCACTGTATTGGCCACTTCAAAAAGATGACCTGATTGTAGAATGTTGCCTGGAGTCACGGAAGGGACGCAGGTGGCTCTGTAGTCTAAACTACTGAGCCTCTTGGGCTTGCTGATCAGAAAGTCGGTGGTTTGAATCCCCGTGACAGGGTGAGCTCCCATTGCTCTGTCCCAGCTCCTGCCAACCCAGCAGTTCAAAAGCACACCAGTGCAAGTAGATAAATAGGTACCGCTGCACTGGAAAGGTAAACGGTGTTTCTGTGCACTCTGGTTTCCGTCACGGTGTTCGGTTGCACCAGAAGCAGTTTAGTCCTGCTGGCTACATGACCCGGAAAGCTGTCTGTGGACAAACGCCGGCTCCCTTGGCCTGAAAGCGAGATGAGTGCCACAACCCCATAGTTGCCTTTGACTGGACTTAACCATCCAGGGGTCCTTTACCTTTTTACCTTTACCTTTCGAGTCCTGGAGCTGGAAGGGACCTCGGAGGTCAACCACTCTAACCCCACCTGCTCATCACAGGTTCTGCAGTGGAAGATGCAACTATGGAAGGTGTGAGGCACCCTTTGACCTTCCCGATGTGGCTGAACTACAGTTCCCATCAGTCCCAGCAAGCATAACCAACAGCAAGGAGTTGTGGGAGTTGTAGTTCAGCAACACCTGGAGGGCTGTACCTGAAGTGCAGCATCCCTGAGAGGTGGACATCCACCTGCCTCCACCTGCTAAGGTAGCCTCTTCCACTGTCAAATAGCTCTTATTGGTTAGGAAGTCTCCCCCAATGTTTAGTCACAATCAGTGGTGATTCCTCCATTGCAGGGGGTTGGACTAGATGACCCAAAGTGTCCTTAAAGGTAAAGGGACCCCTGACCATTAGGTCCAGTCGCAGACTACTCTGGGGTTGCAGCGCTCATCTCGCTTTATTGACTGAGGGAGCCAGCGTACAGCTTCTGGGTCATGTGGCCAGCGTGCCTAAGCCGCTTCTAGTGAACCAGAGCAGCGCACGGAAATGCTGTTTACCTTCCCGCCAGAGCGGGACCTATTTATCTACTTGCACTTTGACGTGCTTTCGAACTGCTAGGTTGGCATAAGCAGGGACCGAGCAATAGGAGCTCACCCCGTCACGGGGATTTGAACCTCCCACCTTCTGATCGGCAAGTCCTGGGCTCTGTGGTTTAACCCACAGTCCCTACCATCTCTAAAATTCCAAGATTCCAAGTCTGTTCTATCTTACGCATGAATAGCTATCAGCTCTGGCTATCTGGAGATAGCTCTTGTGTCTGATCTAAATGTTTGATTCTAGCATCACTGTAGCATGGTGGTTAGGAGAGGGTGAAGCTGCAAACTGTCCTGTGTTCAAATCTCGCAGCTGTTGCAAACTCACCTGGTGACCTTATATGAATGACTCCTCTGCCTCTCACCACAGGGGTGTGCAGTTGTCATCCGATGTGCTGATGTTATTTGAACTGGGCTTGCAGTGCCTTGATTTGATCTGATGACTTCGAATCTTTGGGAGCTGCAGGGAGTCCTTTTCACACAAACCAAGCATGACAAGGGATACCATAGCAAAGCATCCCAGTGTGTGGTCTATATTTCTAGAGCCATCTGAAAATTAATTAAAATTAAGGCACATTGAGTTTACTGAGATCACCGACTCTCATTTCCTCTCCTCCTCCTCTTTTATTAATTTATTCATTGACTGATTGCAATGTCGTTGATATTGTCTCAGTTGGGTATTACAGGAATGAGCCAGTTTGAGCTTCAGACTTTAGCAGTCTCTCTCCTCCTTTTCACCGCAAAGAGGAGTTTCGAAGGATCTTCTTTCAGGTTTTATCTAAACCCAGTTCGTTGTTACATCCCAAGTGAGACCTGCGATTAGTTGAAATTCACCATGGGCCAAAACCAGGTTTAGATCCTGGCTTATTTCAATAAAACCATGGTTTGAAGTGACCATGGTTTGTCCTGGTGTAACAAGAGAATGTGGTTAGTTTACACCAGGAAGCCACTTGCTTCCAACCTCTTCTCTGTTGCCAGGGAAGAAGAAGTGGTTGAGCCCATCGCTCATGAGCTGTCATTGCTGAAATGCTAAATTATGGTTTTGTGTTATGTCTGGACCAGGTCCAAATGTCTGTGTCTGCG